ATTTGACCTTGACCTCATTTTCACGGTTCATTGCTCAGTGTTAAGTTTATATGTTTCGGTCTGTTTTTCTCAAACTATAATCAATAGGTCAGCTATATTTGTTGTATGGAAGGATTGTAAGCTATTCATGTCTGCCTGGCATGGTTCATCTGACCTTGACCTCATTTTCACGATTCATTGGTCAATTTTTAATTTAGTTTTCTTGGTTAAGTCTGTTTCTTAGAAACTATAAGCAATAGGTCAACTATATTTAGTGTATTGAATGATTGTAAGGTGTACATGTATTTCTCGTTTGGTTTATATGACCTTGACTTCATTTTCTTGGATCATGTTAAGTTTATGTAATAGTTGTAGTAAAGCTTTCATTTAGGACTATCAAAATAATATCAATGGTTAGTAAAGAAGGCGAGACATTTCAGCATGTGCACTCTTGTTAAAGTCAACATTACACTTTTCACTGACAGCAGTAATTGCAGGCGAGACACAGGCCTAGGGTTCAGCGGAACCCTTGAAATTTCTACAGATCAATTTTTATTTGCTTCTGATTGAATGCCTTGTAGATACTCCATTTTATTTGTGCATCTATTTCAATATGCACAACAAGGTGTATCATGCACTCTTACAGCATCATAGTTTATAAAATATGTCCAATTAGCCTGCCTGCAAACCAACATGGCTGCCAATGCTATAGAATAGAACATGTAATGCAGAAGTAATGTCCACATATCTTTTAAATAGTTATAGATAGAGAAAATCTGACAGGACAGCTATGTCCAGAATGTCAAACACTGACCTAAATTTTAGAACAACTCCTTATTGTCCTTAAATGACAGTTATTTTCATATTTTTCCAAATTTTGGTTATTATAACTATAAAAGATAAAGCAAAACTACAAATGACAAGTCAACTCTTTATAGGAGTTATTGCCCTTAAATGTAAATGTTTTCCCATTTTTTTATTATTTTTGCAGAAACTTTCAGAAATTTTATTGTAATTTTATGCAAAAATAACAGGTGAGCGATTTAGACTCCTTGGAACTTTTATTAAAAAAAGAAAGAAAAAAAATGTAATGGTGTGCAACAAATCTATAACATTTATAGAAATATACAGTGGGCTGACAAGCCAATGTTGGAGTGATACTTGTTAAAAGTCTAGGCTGGACTGACAAGCCAATGTTTGGGGAGATACTTGTAAAAAGTCAATGCAACTATCTTATATGACGCTCCATAAAGAGGGGGGGGGAGGGAGGCTACCCCCTAAATCTGCCACTGATTTAAACATAATTTCTCCTGTTACTTAATATATACAAGTATATACTTAATTGTGCATTGAGTTCTCTTTTTAATTTTTTTTTCTTTCGTGCAAGTTATATTTAATTCTGTGACTAAAATATAATCTAAGCAGAGGGACATTTAAGATTTTTCATAATGCTGTTATTTAGTAATTACATCTGATAGTAAATTAATTCCCCTTAATAAGCTATGCATTTTAATGGGTCCAAGTCTATTTACATTTGAGGGCCTACATGTCTTATAGAAAGTTAAGTCATAAGGGTTTGTTCCTTAATAAAGAAAAAGTACTGTTGTATTTGATGTAATACTCATATCATGAAAAAAACTATTTCAATGATACATCATCCAAAAATTGTGTTGATAAACATGATCTGTATATATGTAAAAGATTTTTTTTACTCCTTTGCTCAAGGTTGCATTTTAAATATTTAAGTCTCCCAAACGAAGTTTGGGAAGACTTATTGTTTTTGCTCAGTTCTTATTATTATTATTATTCTTCTTCTTCTTCTTCTTCTTCTTCTTCTTCTTCTTCTTCTTCTTCTTCTTCCGCCGCTTTTAAATTTGAACTTGTCCGCACCCGTTCTCCAAAACCGCTTGTCGGATTAACTTAGGGTTTCACAATATGTTAGACTAACATGTCTAGTGGTGCAATCAGGGTTTTGTTTTTGCAATGGGGTTTATAAAGGGGTACTTTGAGGGGCAAAAAGAAAAGAGGGTTTTACTATAGAACCCTATGGGATTTTATTTTTAAAAATTTTCAAATGATTATAAATTGAAAACCGTTCGTGATAGACACAAACTTTTTAATTGAAAATGTTCTAAATGATAAAGCCCATTAAATGAAATACAGGGTTAGTCCCCAGGGGTCACCCCCACCCCCTGCCATTTAAGAAAGTTCTAATACCTTGTAAGTGGTCAAGATCCCCACCCCTAAACCATATATATTCTGGTTTGTCATGCTAAGATGGTTTGAATGATATACAGGGTTAGTCCCCAGTGGTCATCCCGACCCCCTGCCATTTTAGAAAGTTCTAATATCTTGTAAATGGTAGAGATCCCCACCCCTAAACCATATATATTCTGGTTTGTCATGATAAAGCACATCAAATGTTAAACAGGGTAAGTCCCCAGGGGTCACCCCCACCCCCTGCCTTTTAAGAAAGTTCTAAAATCTTCTAAGTGGTCAAGATCCCCACCCCTAAACCATATATATTCTGGTTTTTCATGCTGAGATGGTTTGAATGATATACAGGGTAAGTCCCCAGGGGTCATCCCGACCCCCTGCCATTTGAGAAAGTTCTAATATCTTGTAAATGGTCGAGATCCCCACCCCTAAACCATATATATTCTGGTTTGTCATGATAAAGCACATCAAATGTTATACAGGGTTAGTCCCCAGCGGTCACCCCCACCCCTTGCCATTTGAGAAAGTTCTAATATCTTGTAAATGGTCCAGATCCCCACCCCTAAACCATATATATTCTGGTTTGTCATGATAAAGCACATCAAATGAAATACAGGGTTAGTCTCCAGGGATCACCCCCAACCCCCTGCCATTTAAGAAAGTTCTAATATCTTGTAAATGGTCGAGATCCCCACCCCTAAACCATATATATTCTGGTTTGTCATGATAAAGCACATCAAATGTTATACAGGGTAAGTCCCCAGGGGTCACCCCCACCCCCTGCCATTTAAGAAAGTTCTAATATCTTCTAAGTGGTCAAGATCCCCACCCCTAAACCATATATATTCTGGTTTGTCATGCTGAGATGGTTTGAATGATATACAGGGTAAGTCCCCAGGGGTCATCCCGACCCCCTGCCATTTGAGAAAATTCTAATATCTTGTAAATGGTCGAGATCCCCACCCCTAAACCATATATATTCTGGTTTGTCATGATAAAGCACATCAAATGTTATACAGGGTCAGTCCCCAGGGGTCACCCCCACCCCCTGCTTTTTAAGAAAGTTTTTAAATCTAAGTGGTCAAGATCCCCACCCCTAAACCATATATATTCTGGTTTGTCATGCTGAGATGGTTTGAATGATATACAGGGTAAGTCCCCAGGGGTCATCCCGACCCCCTGCCATTTGAGAAAGTTCTAATATCTTGTAAATGGTCGAGATCCCCACCCCTAAACCATATATATTCTGGTTTGTCATGATAAAGCACATCAAATGTTATACAGGGTTAGTCCCCAGCGGTCACCCCCACCCCTTGCCATTTGAGAAAGTTCTAATATCTTGTAAATGGTCCAGATCCCCACCCCTAAACCATATATATTCTGGTTTGTCATGATAAAGCACATCAAATGAAATACAGGGTTAGTCTCCAGGGATCACCCCCACCCCCTGCCATTTAAGAAAGTTCTAATATCTTGTAAATGGTCGAGATCCCCACCCCTAAACCATATATATTCTGGTTTGTCATGATAAAGCACATCAAATGTTATACAGGGTAAGTCCCCAGGGGTCACCCCCACCCCCTGCCATTTAAGAAAGTTCTAATATCTTCTAAGTGGTCAAGATCCCCACCCCTAAACCATATATATTCTGGTTTGTCATGCTGAGATGGTTTGAATGATATACAGGGTAAGTCCCCAGGGGTCATCCCGACCCCCTGCCATTTGAGAAAGTTCTAATATCTTGTAAATGGTCGAGATCCCCACCCCTAAACCATATATATTCTGGTTTGTCATGATAAAGCACATCAAATGTTATACAGGGTTAGTCCCCAGCGGTCACCCCCACCCCTTGCCATTTGAGAAAGTTCTAATATCTTGTAAATGGTCGAGATCCCCACCCCTAAACCATATATATTCTGGTTTGTTATGATAAAGCACATCAAATGAAATACAGGGTTAGTCTCCAGGGGTCATCCCCACCCCCTGCCATTTAAGAAAGTTCTAATATCTTCTAAGTGGTCAAGATCCCCACCCCTAAACCATATATATTCTGGTTTGTCATGCGAAGATGGTTTGAATGATAGACAGGGTTAGTCCCCAGGGGTCATCCCGACCCCCTGCCATTTGAGAAAGTTCTAATATCTTGTAAATGGTTGAGATCCCCACCCCTAAACCATATATATTCCTATTTGTCATGTCTCGAACATTTGAATGACGTATACGGTCAGTCCCCAGGGGTTCCCCCCACCCCCAATGTTCTAATATCTTGTAAATGGTTGAGATCGCCACCCCTAAACCATATATATTCCTGTTCGTCATGTAATGAACATTTGAATGACGTATAGGGCCAGTCCCCAGGGGTTCCTCCCCACCCCCAATATTCTAGTATCTTGTAAATGGTTGAGATCCCCACCCCTAAACCATATATATTCTGGTTTGTCATGCCAAGATGATTTGAATGATATACAAGGTTAGTCCCCAGGCATCACTAATGCATATAACTTTACTGGACCAAACCAATTTTCACTGGACGTTGCCCAATGTCAGGCGACCCTGGGAATTACGAATTATGGGAGCTTCGTTTGGGAGACTTCGTAACAGCATCCTGTTACAATCATTTCTTGTTGTGTATAATATGAAACTGAAGCTGTCTCAAACCAAGATGTGTTCTGATATATATTGATGCGACTGGAAACGAAAATTACATGTTAGTGTTTCAGATGGAAGTAGAGTAAAGTTTCGAAATTGTTTAAGTTTTTTTTCTCAATAAGATTATCATGATCATCAAATTTTTTACATTACAGCTTTAAGGTGTGGCAGAAACTTGTTGTATTTTGGGGGTACAGGTGTACCATTTGGTCACAGTAGTAGTAATGACTATTATACCTGTAATTTAGACACTTTAAAGTGGAGATATGTGAAATGTCAGGGTGATATACCACAGAAGAAATATGGTCATGTAAGTTAATAACTTATTTATTTTGGAGCTTATTTGGACCAGTAAATTCACCATTAATAAAATATTGCCTGATGTCATTTATCGGTACTGTGAAAGTACTTATATTCGTTGGTATCGATTTTCGTGGTTTGAGCAAAAGTTATATTTTTGTGGGTTCTTGAAATTGTGGATATTACTGTTTTTTTTTAATCGAGTGAAGAATTTGAAGCCATCAGAAACGAAGATTCTCGAAAATAATCATATATTGTTTTGTAATGATTTGTGGGACATTGCAAAATAAGGTGTTCATTTTCACTTACTGCTGACAACATTCATCAAATTTTTAATAAAATAATTGCTTTCGGAAATAAGCTGATTCATCTATGCTTACAAATTGTCTCGATTGAAGAAAATTGCAAAGTAAACATTTTAATTGTTGCACACTTGTAATCAGAAGTGATGACACTTGTTAACCTGTGATCGAATGGGTTCATTCAACCTATATGCCAACATTTTGAAATTTAGATATACCGGTAAAATTGTATGAAAAAATGTTGGCATAGGTTGAATAATTTGTTACAGATTAAGTGTTATAAAAACATAAATTGATTAAGGTCTAATCAATTTACAACCAGTTTAAACTTAGCTTTAAAGTGTACTCAATGCCATTTTTTTTTACACATACTAGTGAAAATGTAGGTAATGTAGGTATCAAATAGAACACTTGATACTAGCAAAATTGTGTTGAATTAGATACTAAATTAATATTAAAAAAATAGACAAAAAGTCTTAAATTGAACACCTATAAAATAAAATTGAGAATGGAAATGGGGAATATGTCAAAGAGACAACAACCCGACCAAAGGGCAGATATATTTATATATAAAACTTGAGAAAAAATAAACAAAAATACCATACTTTAACAAAAACTTTTTTTTAAAATCAAATTAATTTTGCAATATGAAATTTGAAATGAATGTTAAATAGAATGATTGTGTTTCTTCATTTGTTAGACGGAGGCTTTCCAGTGGGACAGTACGCCCTTTATTTACTTTCTTTTACTTTAGAAAAAGTACTCTGTGTTTGTTTTTATTTATTAAACTGAGCTGTGAGATTTGTGGTTACATTTTGTGTCGCCAATTTGTAATTTGAAATTCCATCATTCGCAAGTCAGTATGACAAATGCACAGTTAGATATTCAATTTGTCACCAATAGATTAGAGTCTGATCCACAATTAATGGATACCAATAGGGCCTCGGTGGCACTAATTTATATGCAGAAGATATGATGATGCATCTGCACACTCAACTGGTGTCATGTTGTCATCCTAGAGTCTCCAGTTTAGGTCAGCTAGCCTGTTGTCATTTTCAATGTACTTTCTTTGACGATGTTTACCATATGCTGAGTTCTGGATTATTCTAAACTCTGTAGCTGCTTGCTGTTTCTTCAGTAGTTTTACCAATTTGATGGCTCCGTCGACAAAAGCATGGAAGTTATGGAGTCTTACAACCTCAGTCACAGTTGACAGGCTAGTGATACAGTAATTCAGACTACTTAAGAGTTATGCCCCTTGGAAATATTAAATTTATGGAAAATGGCCTCATTAGCACTCTCACAGGTACAATTCTTGCCAGATTTTTATAAAACTTATACTATAGGTTAAAATCAGCAATATCTCGGACAAGTTCTATAATGGTGGACGATCGACTTTTTTTTTAAAAGAGTTATGCCCCTTGGAAATATTAAATTTATGGAAAATGGCCTCTTAAGCGCTCTCACAGGTACAATTCTTGCCAGATTTTTATAAAACTTATACTTTAGGTTAATATCAGCAATATCTCGGACAAGTTCTATAATGGTGCACGATCAACTTTTTTTAAAAGAGTTATGCCCCTTGGAAATATAAAGTATGTGCAACATGGGGGACATTGGAACTCTGTTCTTTTATTAGTACCCTACCAGCGAAGTCGAAAGGGGACTTTAGGTTTGCACTCCGTCTGTCCATCCGTCAGTCTGGCAAATCAGTCTTCCACACTTTTTTTCTTCGTCCTTGAAGATATTGATTTGATATTTGGTGTATTGGTTTATCATGACAAGTTACACAAGTTACAGATCAAGTTTGAATTTTGTTCTGGTCTGATGATTTTGTGAAGAGTTATGGTCCTTGGGCTTAGAAAATTCACTCAAATAATCAGTTTTCCTCACTTTTTTTCGTTATGCTTGAAAATATTGATTTGATAATTGGTATATAGTTTTATCATGACAAGTTACAGATACAGTTTGAATTTTGTTCAGGTCTGATGATTTTGTGCTGAGTAATGGTCCTTGGACATAGAAAATTCACTTAAATAATCAAGTTTTCCACACTTTTTTTCATCATGCTTGAAGATATTGACTTGATAATTGTTATATAGTTAACACCATGACAAATTATAAATCAAGTTAGCATTTTGTTCCAGTACAATGAATTTTTAACCGGTAGGGGACTATGTATTGCCATGCAATACTCTCAGAATGCTTGTTTATTTGGTGTTTCTATAAAATATTTTGGAAACTTGAGGTAACATGGTTACTAAAGCTTGTACACAGGAAAAAAGGGGTGAAAATTTGATTGGTATATAAACTTCCAGTGATGGTTATTATCTTATATGCAATGAATTGTTATGTGAAATTTTGTCTGTAGTACTGGACAGGATAAAACTTTACTCATGCCAATTAAGTATTTCTTTATTTGAAACAAAGATAAATTCTGCATAATTTTTTGAAAAGTGCCAATTTAACAAAGACTAATAGGGGAAAATCAATGGTATTACTCCTAAATTGGGAAGCTATACATGCACCAATGATCTTTTATGTACTCTCATTTTTTTAAAATTTCATACTATTTCACTGGAATGTTGCAAACATGAAATATTCTGAGTTGATTGAGTCGATCTCAAAAACATATTTGAGGTAAAATTGCCTTGAAATAGGGCTCTACCTTGAATGTTAGTAGATAGACCCAGCCACACTCAGTTTTGGGGCTTTTTCTCCTCATTTCCTATATTGGGCTACAGTATAAAAGAAAACTTTTCCTCAGTAATTATTTTAGAAATATGCAGTAATAAGTAAATGAAATGTTTTTTAAAGCAATAACAACAAATTATTTACCAAAAGGGAACCATTATATGTCCCTCTCTGGAATGCAGTGCAAACTTAATACATATTTAAGGACTTATTGAAACCTCCATGGAGTCGGTAAAATTTTATGTGGATAGTTCATTCAGCTTGAACACTTCAATTACTAATTTAATATCACATTTCTTACATAAATGTGTGATCGTTACCCCAAAATTTTAATTCATTAGCCTAAAAAGTTAAAATTTTGAGGTAATGAGAGGAATAAATGGACCAAGAGGGACCTTATATTGAAAACAAAGAGGTACATTAGTGGTGCTTATCATCTTAGAGTCATCTTTTGTATCATATTCAACTGTTGCAGATGAGATGAATATTTAATCATTTATTGGTGAATTTATGTGTCCACACTATATTCTATCATGATGCGGCATGATTTGGATTTTTCGAAGAATTTTTCCTCAAATTGCTGAAGATGTCATCTTACATTATACTAAATTTCTCTCAAACTATTAAATTGATTATAACAAAACTTGACAGTAATGCTTGAAAGGACCAGTATTTTACAGAAAAATAATCACATTCAGTTTATTCAACAAAAATTTCTTCTTTATTAAGTCTCCCAAACGAAGTTTGGGAAGACTTATTGTTTTTGCTCAGTTCTTATTATTATTATTATTATTATTATTATGTCACCCTGACGGAGGTCGGGTGACATATTGTTATTGTTCGATTCTTTTTTTTATTATTCTTATTCCACACTTTTTGTCCAGCTTAGTTCTCGGAATTGAATGGACCAATATTGTGATGGAACTATACCATAATGTTAACCACCATGTGTAGTTGTGCACCTGACTTTGGAATAAAAAAAATGGCTGCCATTGCCATGGAAACAGCAAAAATGTGAAAAATAGAAATGTGTTCCAATTTATATGAAACTTCTATGATATTAAGAGACTCGAGCACACTTCAACATGGAACATTTTTATTTCAACTGGGGGGTCTCCTTGGCATAATTTGAGGGGGGGGTGAACTTTTCATGGAACATTCCAGAACATTAGTGTTAAAATAGTTCTACAGACATTAAATGTAATATGATGGTATATTATTATGGGGAAAACAATATGCAGCAGTAGTTTGACTTTGGAATTTTTTTAAATGGAGGCCGTTACCATGGAAACAGCAAAAATACAAAAAATATCAAAATGCTCCAAATTCATTGGAATTAAAAACAGGTAGATCTGTTGTCATGCATAAATCTGCATTCAATGATGGAAAATTTCGAAATGGCTGCTGTTTAGTGGCAATTGGCAGACCAGGGTGACATCCGCTATTGCTTGCAATGGCAATTCTAGTTCTTCTTCTTCTTCTTCTTCTTCTTCTTCTTCTTCTTCCGCCGCTTTTAAATTTGAACTCCAAAACCGCTTGTCAGATTAACTTAGGGTTTCACAATATGTTAGACTAACATGTCTAGTGGTGCAATCAGGGTTTTGTTTGTGCAATGGGGTTTATAAAGGGGTACTTTGAGGGGCAAAAAGAAAAGAGGGTTTTACTATAGAACCCTATGGGATTTTATTTTTTTAAATTTTCAAATGATTTTAAATTGAAAACCATTTGTGAAAGACACAATCTTTTTAATTGAAAATGTTCTAAATGATAAAGCCCATTAAATGAAATACAGGGTAAGTCCCCAGGGGTCACCCCTACCCCATGCCATTTAAGAAAGTTCTAATACCTTGTAAGTGGTCAAGATCCCCACCCCTAAACCATATATATTTTGGTTTGTCATGCTAAGTTGGTTTGAATGATATACAGGGTTAGTCCCCAGGGGTCATCCCGACCCCCTGCCATTTGAGAAAGTTCTAATATCTTGTAAATGGTCGAGATCCCCACCCCTAAACCATATATATTCTGGTTTGTCATGATAAAGCACATCAAATGAATTACAGGGTTAGTCCCCAGGGGTCACTCCCACCCCCTGACATTTAAGAAAGTTCTAATATCTTGTAAGTGGTCAAGATCCCCACCCCTAAACCATATATATTCTGGTTTGTCATGCGAAGATGGTTTGAATGATATACAGGGTTAGTCCCCTGGGGTCATCCCAACCCCCTGCCATTTGAGAAAGTTCTAATATCTTGTAAATGGTTGAGATCCCCACCCCTAAACCATATATATTCCTATTTGTCATGTCTCGAACATTTGAATGACGTATACGGTCAGTCCCCAGTGGTTCCCCCCACCCCCAATGTTCTAATATCTTGTAAATGGTTGAGATCCCCACCCCTAAACCATATATATTCCTGTTCGTCATGTAACGAACATTTGAATGACGTATAGGGTCAGTCCCCAGGGGTTCCCCCTGCCCCCAATGTTCTAGTATCTTGTAAATGGTCTAGATCCCCACCCCTAAACCATATATATTCTGGTTTGTCATGCCAAGATGATTTGAATGATATACAAGGTTAGTCCCCAGGCATCACTAATGCATATAACTTTACTGGACCAAACCAATTTTCACTGGAAGTTGCCCAATGTCAGGCGACCCTGGGAATTACGAATTATGGGAGCTTCGTTTGGGAGACTTCGTAACAGCATCCTGTTACAATCATTTCTTGTTGAATATATCTTTTTTTGGTAATGTTTATGTTCTATATTAAACATTATGTCTATGCCATGAACAAATCAAAGAGTCAAGATTTTATTGAATTTGCTGTCATTTAATGGCTGTATATAACTGATGAAAATTATTATGAAAATATGAAACCTGCTTTTGCTAACCAAAAGTGAAACAAGGTCCTTGTTTAATACTCGTGGTGGGGTTTTCACTTACTATTTGCTATGCACTATGTAATGAGTGGAAAGGATGAGCTGCTGGAATAGGTCACTTTTTCAAGCTTCTTGGTATATGATAAGGTCAAGAAATTAATATGAAATATATACGAAAAGGTTCCTGATTCTATCAAAAGTAAGTATCTGATATTACATGACAGATGGAGTTTTTTTTTCAAGATACGATTAAAACCTTAGTCGTAAATGCATCAGAAAATTTTCTAGGGTATATTTTTTTGTTATTCAAAATATATGAAAAGGGTTGGTTATTTTATGTCTCAGATGCTCACTCTCACCACTAATGAATTGAAGTGTACCCCTTTAAGGTTTAATACTTATATCAATTTATAGGCTATGGCAAGAGTAGGAAAAGATGTGTTTGTTTGTGGAGGAACTACAGGCTTTGTATATAACATGGATATTCATAGACTAGACATCTATACAGGTGTGTGGGAACATCTACCAGTACATTCCAAATATACTCCAAGTAGTCGGTATGTAAAAATGTTGATATGGTACTATTATAAACATGAATAAAATGCTCCGCAGGGCGCAGCTTGATACGACCGCAGAGGTCGAACCCTGAACAGTTGGGGCAAGTATGGACACAACATTCAAGCTTGATACAGCTGTGAATTTGGATTGTGATTAAATATTTGACACAGCATAGGTTTCTGACACAGAATGAATGTGGTCTAAGGACTTAAAAATTTTAAATTGGACATTCACCTATTATGGTCCAATATCCAGAATCTAAATACATGGTTAGATTCAGCATATCAAAGAACCCCAAGAATTCAATTTTTGATGAAATCAAACAAAAGTTTAATTTTGGACCCTTTTGACCTCAATGTGGACAAAGTTGATAATGGGGCCCAAAAATCAAAAATCTAAATACATGGTTAGATTCAGCATATCAAAGAACCCCATATATTCAATTTTTGTTGAAATCAAACTAAGTTTAATTTTGGACCCCGATTTGGACCAACTTGAAAACTGGGCCCATAATCAAAAATCTAAATACATGTTTAGATTCAGCATATCAAAGAACCCTAAGAATTAAATTTTTGTTAAAATCAAACTAAGTTTAATTTTGGACCCTTTGGACCTTAATGTAGACCAATTTGAAAATGGAACCAAAAATTAAGAATCTAAATACACGGTTAGATTCGTCATATCAAAGAACCCCAATAATTCAATTTTTGATGAAATCAAACAAAGTTTAATTTTGGACCCTTCTCAATGTGGACCAAGTAAAAAAAGGGGCCCAAAATCCAAAAACTTAATACACGGTTAGAATCAGCATATTAAAGAACCCCAAGAATTCAAGAATAAAACCCCATTGAAATTGGTCAAGAAATAAGCAATTTATACGAAGTATCTTCTTTTGCACAATACTGTGCAATTGAATATTTCTTGCTATTGCGCAATACTGTACAATTGACAATTTCTTGCTATTGCGCAATATTGTGCTATTGGATATTTCTTGCTATTGCACAGTACTGTGCAATTGAAGATTTCTTGCTATTGCGCAATACTGTGCAATTGAAGATTTCTTGCTATTGTGCAATTGAAAATTTCTTGCTATTGCACAATACTTATTATATAATAATTTACACATCCTGTTTGGTGTGTATCTCCTACCATATCATTATTATTTGCTTTTAAATATAAAACAGAAATAACCAACTTAAAATGGAAAATTTTAAAAGAAAAAAAAAAGGAAAAAAAGAAAAAAAAAGGAAAAAGAAAAAAAAAAACCCAAATTTTTTGAACCCCCTTATGATTCATCACCCCCAAACTCAATCCCAGCCTTCCCTTTGTGGTACCTTGCAGTACAATTTCAGAGAGATCCATACACTTGAACACAAGTTATTGTCTGGAAACTAGAAAAATGCTTATTTTTGGCCCCTTATTCCTAAACGTTTTGGGCAATTACCCCCAAATTCAATTCCAGCTTTCCCTTTGTGATATGGAACCTTGCAGTACAATTTCAGAAAGATCCATACACTTACACACAAGTTATTATCATGAAACTAGAAAAATGCTTGTTTTTTGCCCCTTTTTTGGCCCCTAATTCCTAATATTTTGAGGCAATTACCCCCAAAATCAATCCCAGCATTCCCTGTGTGATATGGAACCTTGTGGTACAATTTCAGAGAGATCCATACACTTGAACACAAGTTATTGTCTGGAAACTAGAAAAATGCTTATTTTTGGCCCCTTTTTGGCCCCTTCTTCCTAAACGTTTTGGGCAATTACCCCCAAACTCAAATCCAGCTATCCATTTGTGATATGGAACCTTGTAATACAATTTCAGAAAGATCCATACACTTACACACAAGTTATTGTCATGAAACTAGAAAAATGCTTGTTTTTTGCCCCTTTTTTGGCCCCTAATTCCTAATATTTTGAGGCAATTACCCCCAAAATCAATCCCAGCATTCCCTGTGTGATATGGAACCTTGTGGTACAATGTCAGAGAGATCCATACACTTAACACACAAGTTATGTCTGGAAGTTACAAAAATGCTTATTTTTGGCCCCTAATTCCTTAACTGTTGGTACCATAACCCCCAAAATCAATCCCAACCTTCCTTTTGTGGTATTGAACCTTATGGTAAAATTTCATAGAGATCCATTCACTTAAACTAAAGTTAGAGTGCGAAAACCAATGTGTCTTCGGACGACACCGGACGACGACGACGCCAACGTCATACCATTATACGACCGCAAAAATTTTCAACAGATCAAGGTTGAATTATGGGGCGTCACTTTTACTGTTCTAGAGTTATGCCCCTTTACAAATGGAAAAATTGCTAAATTTTTCATTTTTTTTCCAAAAATATCAATGTCATTATTCAAGTAATTTTTAAAATTGGAGTTATCTTCCTTTGTCCATGATTTAGTTAAATCAACTACAATCAATGCTTTATACAATGCAATGTTTAATTTTGCCTTCCACTGATAAAACACAGATCAAGTTGAATTTGGGTAGTGCCACTTTAAATTGCAAAATCTTTAGTTTCCATTCTGTAACTTAAGTTTGCTCCAACCAAACATTATGAAACCTATACACAATACTTATTACCACAAAACTAAGATCAAGTACAAATATTGTTTCCGTTCTCTAACTTTAGTTTGCCTCAACCAAATGTTATGAAACTTATACACAATGCTTAATTTATTACTACATAATACAGATTAAATACAAAATTTGGTGGTGTCACTTTTACCATTCTTGAGTTATGTCCCTTTATAAAGATAAAAATTGCTGAATTTTTCATTTCTGTTCTCTAACTTTAGTTTGTCTCAACCAAATGTTATAAAACGGATACACAACCATTCTAGAGTTATGCGTGTTTACAACATGTACAAATAGAAAAATTGCTGAATTTTTCGTTTCTGTTCTCTACTTAAGTAAGCCTCAACCAAATGTTATGAGACTTACACACAATGCTTATTACCACAAAACTCAGATCAAGTTCAAATTTGGGTAGCGTCACTTTTACCGTTCTTCAGTTATGTCCCTTTATAACTATATGATATGCAATCCACATTTATTTTCTTCGTGCTTGAAGATATTGATTTGATATTTGGTGTATTGTTTTATTATGACAAGTTACAGATCAAGTTCGAATTATGTTCCGGTCTGATGATTTTGTGCAGAGTAATGGTCCTTGGACTTAAAAAATTCATTCAAATAATCAGTTTTTTCGTCATGCTTGAAGATATTGATTTGATAATTGGTATATAGTTTTATCATGACAAGTTACAGATCAAGTTTGAATTTTGTTCCGGTCTGATGATTTTGTGCAGAGTAATGGTCCTTGGACTTCGAAAATTCACTTAAATAATCTGTTTTCCACACTTTTTTCATCATGCTTGAAGATACATGTATTAACTTGATATTTGTTATATAGTTTACGTCATGACAAGATATAGATCAAGTTAGCGTCAGTGTTTTCCCTAGAAAATTTTTGATGCATGGTGGGGTCCATGGTGAATTTGAAGCGCGTCGTGCAAAACTAATGCACTGAAAATTGAAACATGTCGCGCGAAACCTTGTTTGCAATCACACTCAATTGAGATTGAATGAAGGTCTGGATGGGGTTTACAGAATAGAGAATGATGGGCAAAAAGTGCAGAATAAAGGGCAAAAATATAAAGAATAGAGAAAAACAGGCCAAAAATATAAAGAATAGAGAATAATGGGGTGCTCAAAAATAAAGAATAGAAAATAATGGGCAAAATTTATAAAGAATAGAGAAAAATGGCTTAAAAAATTAAAGAATATAGAATTGAAGGACCACCCATCCAGACCCTCTTGAATGTGTATACTTAATCATTCTATTAAGACTATTTCAAAAGCTACAGAATAAATTCATTGTTTCAGATTCTATCATGTACCTTGAAGGTATTTATCACAGATATTAGAAATAAGTTCAGTTGAAGTTTATGATTTTAAATAAAATTGAACCAGTCTGTGATGGTGTTTATCTACAAATGTTTGTTATTTTCCCCATTGAAATGTTTAGCCAGAGTCTGAAAAACAGACTTCCTTATGCAATGGTAGGATTTACTGGGTCTATGAGTACAAATTTATTTTCTGTGCATTCTGGGAGTATAATTCCTTCTTCTTGCGTTAACCCCCGAATGACCCCAGGTCAACCGGGGCAGTTCATTCATAAAATCGAAATTGGAATCTAGTGTATTTGTATAATACAGCTCTGAATGTCACAATATGCTATTCGTCGAATTTACTGGAAAAAAAGATATTTACTTGCGTAATAGAAACAGTATTATACTGTATACCTGACAAATGGTATCGCACATTTGGGAATTACCGGTCCGAAACTTTTAGTTTTATGGCATTGAATTTCATAAACATTTTCTGTTTTACAGATACACAATGTACTTCTCAGGCCGGTAAAAATAAATGTATACGTAAAAACGGCAACTTTAACCCCTGTGTTATTACTTAAAATGACCAAGAGGTAAATAAAAATGACCAAGAAGTAAATAAAAAAGATATTTCGGTATTTACAATTTCGTTTATACGCGTTCAAGCCATTTCTAAACTTCACTACGTAGGTTTTGACAACTCATTTTAACTTCGTATCACTGATGTGTATTTGACACAATCAATCAACGCGTAAGATCTAAAAATAGCGATGTGTTTTGGCCAATCAAAAAAAATATTGATCGTTGTAATTAGCATACGAAAAAAACTGAAAAACCTCGATTATATTTGTTTTTTCACCTATTTCTGATTAAATTTCTTCAGAAGACAATTTTCACGTTGAAATGTTTTAACTGTCATTTTTTTTTTATGATTAACTTAAATCTCGATGTCAAACCTCCGGTGTCCGGGAGAAGGTTTTAAAGGTTATTGACGTGGAAAGATATGTGGGAGCTGACCTCTATTTTAATTTATCATTTAAACGGAAACACCAGACCATAAACGAGGTTGTAAATGTCCAGCACGCAATGT